AGCTCCACTTCCAGATTCTTAAAAAAAAAAAAAAAAAGTCACATAAATGGCCCCAGAATGCTCTTTGATGGACTCTCAAACCTTCCGCAGGAACTCAACATTCTTGTCTTCAGAGCTCCCACAATAGCCCTTTAACCTCTGAGTATATCCAGTCCAAAGTTCTAAATGCTTCCACAGTCCTTCCCACATACCAATGCGGTCATGTCTAGCACAGCAATATGCTATGTTATGTTCCTGGAAGAAAAGGTTTGTTTTCACAGGTTAAGATCCATTATCCAGGGAAACCAGGAGAGGAATTCAAGGTAGGAACTGAAGCAGAGGCCATGGAAGAACGCTGCTTACTTGCTTATGTCCAGCTAACTTCCTTATATAGGCCAGAGCCACCTGCCCAGGGGGCGGCACCACCGCAGTGGGCTGGGGACTTCTCTTTCAGTTAACAATGAGGGCACTACCCCTCAGTACCCTATGTCATCACCAGAGGACTTGCACGTTCCACAGATGCCTGCCCCCACCTCCCGCAGGCCTATTTGGAACTGCTCAAGACTTTAGTAATCACAGACCTACTGTACCATTTCTACTTCGGCCACAGGGGGGCGCTTCCCGAGTGGAGCGCCTGCTGTGACCGGCGCTAAGGGGCAAGGCAGTGAGAAGGCTGGGAGACACCTCCCTGGTGTTGCAAGGCCAAGTCCAGCGAAGACTTGTCTGGGGCTCTTTCCTTGGCCACTTTCACTAGTGCAGGCTGAGACAGCCGCAGCAATGGAGAAGCAGAGGGCCAAGGATTGCTGCAGCATTGAGGACTACTGGAAAAGCATCAGCTTCCAGCTGCGACTCCACACCTGAGTATCTCAGGGTTGCCCTGTGGTTGCCCTGTGGTGACCTGGCCTGGCACCACCCTAGGGTCCAGCACTATCCATGGCTGACCCCCGACAGTGCTTGGCTTAGCATCACTGAGGCTGGGTTCCCAAACAGCCCAGTGTGCATTTCCAAAGCCCAGCCCAACCTCTTAGTGCAAACACTAACATCTGCAACTACTCCTTTAGAGTTCCAAGAGTCCCCACAGCCTGGTTTCCAATGCCCTAGGCTCCTAAACAGCTAGTGCTGGTTTCCACTCAGCTGCTGAAAAGCTACGGCCTTGACCCCGCCCACCAGCAATGTGTGCAGGCCCGAATCCGCTCTGCTATGAGGACTGACCTGGTGACCCCTCCTGGTGACCTCATCCAACCACAAGGATCAGTCCCTGGTGGTCACAAATGTTTGCTCCCGAGTGACCCAGGCTGTGCATCCAGGTCTACAGGGGCTGTGGCAGGTGTGCCGGCTGCACCCCAGCTCCTGAATGCTGTGACAGAGGCAGGCATACCCGAATCTAGCAGTGCCCCCCCCCCACAACTGAAGTCACTGTTGAACAGTATCAAAGCAGCCACAGCAGGAGGAAGGGAGGTAGAAGAGGCGAAGGTGTCTGGAGCTGATGAAGACTAGAAGGGTCCAGAGAGGAGAGCCTGCTGACCCTGGTCACCAGAAGAATGCCAAGAGTATACAGTCTCCAGAATCTCAGACCACAGTCTGAGAACTGCCAACCTATGCAGGGCTAAGGATCCCCGACCTGGAGGCCTGCATGGAGACTAAATCAAAGGGCACCACTTGCCACTACTGCCCGCCCATTGCCAGCGTTTGAGGTACCTGAGAGAGGCTGACTTCCTAAGGAAAGTTTATTTAGCTTACGCTGTTGGAGGCGTAGGGTGTGGCTCCATTCTGGTGAGGGTCTTTGTTATGTCACATCATGGCAGTTGACAATGGTGGGAGAGGATGAGTGGGGCATGTAGTCAGTCACTATGTGAAGAGCAAAAGGGAAGAGCTCTGGGGTGGGGGCTCAACTCTCTCCCAAGAGCTGCCTTTTCTCTTCTGATGATTGGGTCCCTGTGACCCAGGGACCTCCCACCAGGTCCCGCCTCTTAAAGGTCCCACTCAGATCTTTGGGTGAACAACCAAATCATATCCAAACTACAGCACCCCTTTCCCAGGCAAGGCATCAGCTGGCTTCCACAAAACCCTGTCAGCCTTGGAGATTCTATTATTCTTTAACAAAAGTTTTATTCAAGTCCCAGTTTCTGAGTGCCTGCCCTGTTGGACTGGGTAAGGATGTCTGGGGAGACTGTGTGTGTTTGTATTGCTGGCGGGCACTGTCCTGGTATCTTGCATGTCACCCCCTAAGGTGTTCGGAGAGCCTGAGGGGTTTGCCTACATTTGCACAGCCAGTGGGTGGCATGGTTGGGACTAAGGCTGGCTGTGGCTGGTGCTGCCATTGACAACGTCAGCTCCTTACTGAAAACTGTGCTCTGGGTGGTCTCCAAGCAGTCCCTTCACTAAGAGGCACCTTAAGCTTACGAATAGAGAACCATGTGGCCATAGAGGTCCTCAAGATCAACTTTTACAGAACCAGGCTGGAGGCTTGCCATTTCGGGGGTGCACGTTGTATATTTATTTTCGGGAGTTTGTCCATCCCTCCCCCTTTGGGTATATTCATTCACGCCAATGTCTGGCCTCCTCGTTCTTAAGGAGTGGCAATGGAGGTCTAGCTATGCCGAGGAGAAAGGAACATCGTCTCACAGGGCATCTGCCACATCTCCACCTTCAGCCTGACCATCCCTGGTGTTGGTAAGAAGGGCCTTCAGTCTGAGTATCTGACATCCCGAGTCTCCTGAAGGGCCACCCCCTGATTGCTGTCCTTGGTGCTGATCAACAGATCGCCTCCTTGTGACCTCCTTCCAAGGACCTCAACCCCCACCCCAGCACCCCAAGGCAGAGAATGGGTTATCCAGTCTCCCCATCAAGCTGGATTAGACTGGCTGTGGTGGTGTATGCCTGTAATTCCTGCACTTGGGAAGCTGAGAAAGGAGAATGGAGAATTCAAGATCAGCTGTGGTTACACAGTGAGAACCTGACTACAGAAGATGAAGGAAGGGAAGGAAGAGAAGGAAGGAAGCAACTGTGGAGTTGTGGGCCCTAATGAAGCTGATGCCTGGCGCCATTTCAGCCCTTCCTTATTTCCTGAAGGGGCGCTGAGCCCTTGTGTGGACCCACTTCCTGTAGGGTAGTCGTGAGGGTGCCCCTTGGAGCTAGACGCTCCCTGGGGTGGAAGGGGAACAGCAATGGCTGATACCCTGAGCAATTGTTCCTCTGATAGTCCATTTCCCTTTTCACATACGCAGGAGGATCATTAAGTTCAAAACCTGCCTGAATTACAGAGTTAGTTCAAGACCAGTCTGGGTGACTTAGAAAGATTCTGCCTCAAAATAAAAAGAGAAAGGGGCTGAGGATCAGGGGTAGAGTACATACCCAGCATGTGCCAAGCCCTGGATTTGGTCCCTCGTACCGCCAAAACAAACATGCAGCAACGCAAAGCGATAATTAAACCCTAACTCAGTGGCCAGCACTGTCTGTCTCTGCTTCACTTTCTGGCTCAAGATGATGACAGAACCTCACAGACACATGCTCCCTTCCCACACACTGCCTCTGGTGTCTGTAAACATTTGACCAGGGTCTGGACAGCCTCTAGTGTAGATCCTCTCCCCCTCTCCCAGAGCAGTGAGGAGTGCAGATCTGGAGCTGCATGGCCAGACGCTTTCTTTAGTTATCTGGATAGCTCACACCCAAGTGCACAACCCTAGGAAGAGCCTTGTAAAAAGCAGCCTTTCAAATGGGGCCAAGAGGGGGAACTGAAACTCAGCCTAAGACATACAAAACCCCTTTTTCCTTCAGGATCTTTCTGGCCCTGTTTATTCGTCAAAGGTACCCACTACACACTAGCTTCAGGCTCAAGCTCTCTGCCCAGATGAGAGAAAAGATGCCTCAGTCCCAAGAACTTACTCGTAACCATGCTGAAGAGGGTTTGTCCTTCTACATTCCTATGGAAATGGCTGGCACCATAATGAGGAAGTGAAAGCAGGAATCAATGGTAGAAGTCAAAGTGTGATACCGACACATCACACAGTTAGGTTACTCAAGGGATTCTTCCAAACTGCTCAAGGTGGCTCAGGTCTGAGTCTCACACTGAAAAGCCGAGGCAGGAAGGTCACTCGGTCCCAGGAACTCCAGGTCAGCCTTGTCTTAAAAAACGAAAGGAAGGGGCTGGAGAGATGGCTCAGAGGTTAAGAGCACCGACTGCTCTTTCAGAGGTCCTGAGTTCAATTCCCAGCAACCACATGGTGGCTCACAACCATCTGTAATGAGATCTGGTGCCCTCCTATGTATACATAATAAATAAATAAATCTTTAAAAAAAAAAAAAAAACGAAAGGAAGCAACAGATCCCTAAAGGCCGGACCCAGTGTTCATCAGAACCATATGACTTCCTTTATTAAGGCATTTCAGAAGCTTGAGATAAGACCAGATGAGGAACACTTGAGAAGGCCTGGAGCCTTGGGTCCCTGCTAAGGTGCAGTGTAAGGTTGTACTGATTTGTGATCACAAAGAGTGAAGCCAGCACCTGGCTGTGGTTGCCCCTCCCCACAAGTAGGAGCAAAAGCATCAGGTCTGATCTGGTCAGAATGCCTGAGTTTTCATTTAATAATTCATGCTGCAGATACAGCATACAGTGGGTAGTTAGCAGGTAAGTATTAGTTCTCAGAGGTGTGCAAGTTCCCAAAGCTGGGTCAGCAGGATAGTTCAGTCACATCTGCTTGTTTAAAGGAATAATTCAGCTTTGCCTGTAGCTAATAGACAAACTGACTCTGGCATCTGCCCCCATCAAATGTCAGGCAGATTTTGGATGTATCTATAAAAGGTTTCCTGATGGACAGACCAGCAGCCTCCACTAGACACAGAGCAACTGTCTCCTATGTGTTGACCACCCCCCTCCCCAGACATTATTATTTTTAAATAATTTATTTCTTTATTTTATGTGCATTGGTGTGAAGATGTCAGATCCCAGGGAACTGGAGTTACAGACAGTTGTGAGCTGCCATGTGGGTGCTGGAAATTGAACCCTGGGTCCTCTGGAAGAGCAGCCAGTGCTCTTAACCACTGAGCTATCTCTCCAGCCCCAGACATTATTTTATTGTATGGGCCAGGCTGGCTTTGGACATGGTTCTCTTGTCTTGGCCTGCTGGGTGCTAGGATGACGGGTGTGCCCCTCCCTGCCACGCCCCCTCTCTTGTTCCCTGTGGGACCGCTGTCCTTGTCTCCGCCTGTGCATGAACGAGTGTGTGTGTGCACACCAGCACGTACAATCAAATATATTGTTGTCTAATAAGCTTACCTGCCTGAGCAATTAAGAACAAGAACTCTAGGAGCTTTGGTTGGTTTCTAGTTAAGCATTTCTCAGTGCACCCCCACCCCCTTGTCTGGCTTGTGAGGAGAAGTCAGAGGGAATTCTTAATGCTGAGCCCCTAAAAATTATTTTCTTCCTTTGTGTTCTTGCAAGGTTTGAAAAGTTGTCCTCAAGTCTGACCATGCTATGTCTAGATGCAGCTTCCATGCTTTGCATTTCTCTACTTTTCTGTTACTTTTTGGCTATGTAGCTTACTGCCCGACATTAATTAAAGGAGATTAAAATGTCATTTTGTTTTGTTTTAAATACTGTGTCTATTTCCTCCTTCTTCTCATCCCGCTGTCCGCATTGTGAGTAGCTGCGCACAGCTGTTCCGCAGTCCTTAGATACTGGACTTTAATTTTTCACCCCCCTTCCCTTCTCAGTTTTGGAAGGTTTTTCTGTTCATAGTCTCAAGTTTAGAGATGCTTTCCTCATCAGCCTGCTAACGAGCCCATCAACGTCATTCTTTGGTTTGTTCGGCTTTTCACTTATTGTTAGGGCAGAATAACTTCCCAGCTGCTTGTGTGCTAGACTGGAAACCCAGTGTCCTTGGAGCAGAGCTGGAGAATGACCCCCAGAGTCCTTCTACCAGAGGAGGCTTGCTGTCACCACCCAGCAAATTCTTCCAAGGAGTTATTGAAATTCATGATGCTACCCTCTTTTCTGTGACAAAGGACAAGTGTTCCCGATTGCTGACATTAATGGAACTTTCCCCCCTCTCCTAAATGTGGTGGAAAATGTCACTTTTCAAAGTGGGGAGAGATATCATCAAATTTAAGTGTTTGAAATCCCTGTTGAGCCGTCAGCAAGCTCACCGAGGATGGTCTGAATTCTCTCCTCCTCAGTTCTGGGAAAATGAAAAAGCAAAAAAAAAAAAAAAGTTTTAGTGTTGAGGCTTTTAAGACCATTGGGATTTTTAAACTTGAACTGAATGCGTATTATGAGACAGCCCTGAGTCTGTGGGGTGAGGACCAGAATGTTATGGTTTAGGTGGAGCGTGTCCTCTATGAGCTTGCCCATGTGTTTGAACACATGGTTATCAGCTGGTGGTGCTGTTCTGGGAGCTTGTGGACCCTTTGGGAGATAGGGCCTAGCCAGAGGAAGTGCATCTCTGGGTGGGTTGGCTGGGGGTCCACCCCCACTTCCTGACTCACATGAGCTCTCTGGGTCTCTGAGATGTGAGTAAGCAGCTTCGTGTTCCCATTGTCATGGAGCTAGCTTGCTGCCATGATGGTTGTGTCCCCTCAAACTGTGAGCCCCAACAGGCTTCTCATCCCTCTAAAGGAATGGGTTTACTCCGATGCCTGGGTTAGGCGAATTGGAAGATAGTTCTGTGTATGCGTGTATGTTTGTGTTCTGGGGATTAAACCCAGGGCTTTGCACATGCAAATCAAACACCTTAATATTAATGTACACATCCAGCCCAGAAAAGGAGAGAATTCATTCTGCAGAGTACTCTAGCTCTGAATGGGAGGAGATAGACTATATGGAAGCTGGGAGGCATACTCAGAGAGGTCCCAGGTATCTTTTGAAAAGAAAAGTTAGATGTTCAAATGGAGGAAATTAAAGAGAGACACGAGAAGGTGTCTATGGCAGAATATGCCACTCAAAACATATCTGCATGAGACCAGACTGTTATCCCTCAGAATGGGCCTGGAAGAGACACAGTAAGGCACTCAAAACATGTCGCTTCAGCTGGAGGACTATCTTGAGCACTAGCAGACATAGAAAGAATATGTCTTCTGGTGTTCATGGACAAGAGTACTCTCGGGTATGGTCCAGAAGTATAGATCCCAGGCCAAAAGAAATGTACATGTTCTATTCTGTTGGTAAATGTCCAATGACCTCTAAAGGAGGCATGTCATATCCATTCCTGTTGGTTGTGTGTTTGTGGAGGTTGCATTGTGCTGCTCTGTGGTAAGAAGCATATTGCCACCGAGTTGATTGCCCTCAGCCATGACTCTGAATCTGCTCCCCAACCCTGCCCTGACCCCCATTGCTTCTAACTTGAAAAGAGCAAATGTCTATTTCGGCTCATGGTTCCAGAGCTTGACATTATTGTCTATTTTTCTGTTTCCTGGCCTCTGACTCACAAGAAAAACAACTTAGAAGTGACCATTCTCTTTCCGCACCTTTCTGTAGGTAAGGCATAGTCCTTCCGCACAGCCTGCCTGAACATTGGTTCAGATTTATGGAATGAGTGTCATGAATAAAAGTGGTCAAGAACTGTCAACTAACTCTGTTGCCCCTTTGTCCTCTGGCAGCAGTGTCATACCTGAACGGATCAGAAGGGAGCTTTGGCCTGATTCCCCGGAGTTGTTATGCTATCAGCCTGCCTTCTGCATGGAAGGAGCCGGGTCCTGGTCACAGGCATAGAATGACACCTGGATACACAGCACAAGTCTGGGCACTGAAGTATGTGAGCTTTGCATGTGGAGCCCTCTTTTGCAGGTCCTAACTCTCACCCTTTTGTCACAGGAAGGCTGTGGTCTGGAGCATAGTGCTCACTTGAGTTATGTGATTTGTTTAAGTGCAGTCTTGTTTCAAGGGGTAGTGAGAATTCTAAATTTACTGTCAGTTGGCCAGAAGTTAGGGTGGCCCAAGGACCCCTGAGTTTGTAGCTGGTGTTGGAGGTAAGGAAAGTGTTGTTAGGTCTGGGCCATTTGCCCTGTGAAGTCTGGGGTCACTGCCACCCTTGTATTGCACAGACCCTCCTCTGCTTACGTTCTTAGTTAGGGTTTCTGTTGCTGTGTAGAGACACCATGACCACTGCAACTCTTATAATGAAAACCATTAAACTGGGGCTGGCTTACAGTTTCAGAGGCTTAGTCCATTATCATCACGGCAGGTAGCAAGCAGGCAGACATGGTGAAGGAGGAGTTGAGAGTTCTGCATCTTGATCTGCAGGCAGCAGAAGGAGTCTGTGCCCACACAGGGTGTAGCCTGAGCATAGGAGACCTCAAAGCCCAGCCCCACAGTGACTCACTTCCTTCCTCCAAGGCCACACTTAATCCAAAAAGGCCACACCTCCTAATAGTGCCACTCCCTATGAGCTTATGGGGGCCAATGACATTCAAACTACCACACCTTAGTATAGCCTGCCTCCCTCCCCTGCTTGGGTCCTCCACCCCAGCTCTCCCTCTGCTGGAATGCCATGGTGCTGACATCCTTCCCTCCCCCAAGTCCCTGTGTGCCTGTCAGCCCAGCAACACAGCTTCTCACCCTGTCATGCTTCCTCTCTCTGGCGAGTTTTGTTCCCAGGGAGCACCTGTCATCTTCTAATGTATAACACAAATGGTGGATTTCTTTGGCGTATTGTAGCCATCCACCTCTGCAGGGCCTGTGCAGGAAAGGACTTTTAACTGTTTTGACCACTGCTCTGTCCCACTACTTGGCACAGAGCAGGTGTTCAGGGAATGCTAGTTCAGTATGTGCATGTTCCCAAAGCGTTGTTCAAAACAGCAAAACTGTGACAGCCCCTGAAGTGCCTTCTAGTGGTAAATTGAGTAAGTGTATTTATAGGAATGTGATAAGTAGGGTTTCTGTTACTGTGCTAAGGGACCATGACCAAAAGCAGCTTGGGGAGGAAAGAGTTTACATCTTACAACCCTCATGTCAAGGTCCATCCAAGACAGTAAATCAGGGCAGGAACTCAAGGCAGGAACTGGGAGGTAGGTAACGAAGCAGAAGCTGGGGAGGGACCCTGCTTACTGGCTTGTTCCTCATGGTTTTCTCAGCCTACTTCTTAGACAATGTGAGACCACCTGCCCAAGGGTGGCACCACCCACAGTGAGCTAGGCCCTCCTACATCAATCACTAATCAAGAAAAAGCCCTCCAGACTTGCCTACAGGCTGATCTGATGGAGGCCTTTTCTCAAATGAGGTTTGTCTCAAGTTGACAAAAAACAACCAGCACAAGTATCTATTTTAAAAATTAATAAAAATTGTATGATTTATGATAGATTGTGGCTTTGAAATATATATTGTGGAATGGCTAAATTGAGCAAATTAGCATCTTTTTAAAAACCTCACATACTTATAATTTCTCATTGTTGTTTTGGTCTTTTTTGAGACAGAGTCTCATGTAGTCAGGATGAAGATGACTTTTAACTTCTGACGTTCCTTGATTTCAGCTTCCAAGGGTAAGATTACAGGTATGTGCCACCATTCCCAGTTCATGTGGTTCTGGGGATCAAACCCAAGGCTTCATGAATCCTAGGCAAGCAGTGTGCTAACTGAGGTATTTGTCACGTTTTGGTGATGACATATTAGGGTACACTTACACAGCAGGGCACCAAAAGTAGCCAGCATGAATAAACTATGACTATTCTCAAATTTGATTTTGATAATACAGATTGAGTAGACCTTATCCAAAATGCTTGGGGGCAAGGAGTGTTTTGAATTGTCCACCTTTTCAGATTCTGCAATATTTGTATATACACACTGAAATATCCAGGAGGAGGGGACCCAAGTTCAGACACAAAACTCACTTATGCTCCATATATATTTTGCACATATAATCTGAAATGCCTACCATATTTTAGAGTGCCTGCTTTTTGACTGCAACCCATCCCAGGAAGGTAGGTGTGGAATTTTCCACTTGTGATATTGAAAAAAAAAAAAAACGCAACCTATTTTGATATATTTTGCATGTCAAATTTTTGGATTAGGGGACATTCAACCTGTTCAGAAATGTGATGCAGAGTATGATCCTATTTACAAAGTTAAAAAATCATAGCTCCTGGAAAGGAAGGTTCATACAGTGACAGGAGAGTGGTTGCCATGATGAGGGCCACTTGAGGGAGGAGATTCCGGGAGGGGCAAGTCATTGCCAAAGGACCCAAGAGGCATCTCAGAAGCAGCCATGCCCTACTTCTTCCTCCAAGTGGTGGTTTTTGTGGGCGTTCTCATTTTGATTATTCTTCAGCCTATAAACAGACATTTCACACATTCTTCTGAATGTAGGACATAGTTCACAATGTAAAAACAGGAGAGAAGGGGGTGCAGGAAGATAGCTGGGGGGTGCTGGTGAGTTTCCCGTGGGTTCAGTGTGACCACAGAACCGTGTGATTTCCTCAACAATCCTGTAACAGCTGTGGGGGCACATGGAGGAGGTGGAGCGGGGTCACCTGTCACTGGAGACTGCCAGGAGACAGATCTGCAGGCAAAGGCAGGAATGAAATGCAGGGTGAGGGTCCAGGCCAGACTGTGACACACAGCTGAACAGGAGGCAGGGAAGTCAGGAGAGAGAGCTGAGATGGAAGTGGGGAGGACTCACGGGGCAGGGGATCAGAGACCTGGAGAATCACAGATGCCTGTGGGGCCACCAGGCTGGCCCAAGTGAAGTCATGGTGGCAGGTCTACATTAGAGACCATCAGGAAACTCAGCTGGCACAAGACAGCACCTGCCTGTGGCTGTAACACTGGAGAGAGGAAGGAGGAGCAGGCAGGTGGACCCAGGAGTCCACAGTGCAGTTTAGGGGGGACTCACACACAGGGTGGCAGCAGAGTAAGAGAGCCCCACCTCACACAAAGTGAGACAGGAAGCCCGCAGGTTGGGAGGACTGTAGGAAGGGCGCTAGTGTGGACAAAGGTGGGCTGTGTCCGGGCCCGCTCCAAAGCTGACTGCTGCTGTCAGCCAGACAGTGAGTAGCTCGCTGTGTGCTTGGCCACCACTTTAGGGAGTTTGTCTCACAGTGTGTCACCTGCCACAATGACAGATGTGACCAAGATGGCTATAGTTATGCCAAGGAGGCTCCCGAGAGATGAGTCCTCATTCCCACAGCCTACACCACTCACCTACTCCAAAACTATCCCACTTGAACTAGCTCACGTGGGTGGAGCTCAGAAATGCTCCCCAGTCCCTTGCCCTGGATCTCAGCCATGGACAAGGAACACACCTTCAGAAAAGTGTCGCCAGGCAGTTCCACCAAGGGAGGCCTAGGGAGGATGCTGGGGAAGGTGCCTGACCACCCCAAACCCCTGCCTAGGGTCTTCAGTGTCAGAATTTTGCCATGGATCTGGGTTTTTATGCCCTTTTGCATAAATATGCATAAAAGATTAATATGCAATTTACATTTGGTATGAGATTACATAGACACTCGACATCCATCCTTGGGTTCTTCTTTTCTGTGACTCAAATAGTTGTGGCTATGTTTGCAGCACAGCTCGGTTGTAAACACTTTCTGTTTCTACAATCATAGCTACCCTGGTCTAAGCTAACTTCATCCTTAATCTGACTACGAGAACAGGTTTTTGTTTGTTTGTTTGTTTGTTTTACCATTGCTATTGCAAAATAACTGAAGCTGTGAGGTGTGTACAGAGCAGAGGGTTATTTAGCCCACACTTGGAGACTGAACTTACTGGCCTGGCCTATAGTAAGCTACTTTTTGATTATGCAAAAGCATTCACCATTGAGAGGGCATCAGCGAGCAAGACAAATCATACAGCAAGACATGATGTCAGAGACTGGGGAAGGTCCAGTAATTTAATAGCAACTCTCTCCTGAGACTTAAACAGAGTCCTCTGAGAATACATCATCCCTTCTGACAGAAGGGCCCTGAATAATCTAATCTACTAGGTTCTGTAACTCCAGCTCCTGGGGATCTGATGCCCTCTTTTGGCCTCATTGGGCACTGCATGCACATGGTTCACACACATGCAGGCAAACACTCATATACATAAAATAAAAATAAGTAAACCTTTAAAAATGTATTTAAAACCTACAGACAGACAGTATCTGCCTGCAAGATGTGATGGGGTAAGGGTGATGCAGAACTTGTGGGAGTGGCCAACCAATGGCTGGTCCTGCTTGAGACCCTTGCCGCAGAGGGAGCCCACCCCTGACACTGCCTGCAGGCCAGGGACCAGAGGCAGGATAACCCAGAGATCTAGGATAGAACCAAATAGGACCAAACAACAACAACAACAACAACAACAACAACAACAACAACAAAACAGTTAATGAAATGATTCCTAAGGATACTCTGCTATACTCATAGACTAGAACCTAGCATAATTGTCATCAGAGAGGCTTCATCCAGCAACTGACAGGAACAGATGCAGAGACCCACAGCCAAACATTAGCCAGAGCTCAGGGAATCCTGTAGAAGAGGGGAAGGAAGAAGGATTGTAGGAGCCAGAGGGGTCAAGAGCATCACAAGAGAACCCATAGAATCAACTAACCACGGCTCGCAGGAGCTCACAGAGACTGAACTGACAACCAAGGAGCCTGCATGGGACTGACCTAGGCCTTTTGCTTATGTGTTATGGTTGTGTAGCTTGGTGTTCTTGTGGGGCTCCTAACTGTGGGACTAGGGGCTGTCTTTGACTCTTTTGCCTGCTCTTGGGACCCCCTTTCCTCCTACTGGGTTGCCTCGTCCAGCCTTAATAAGAGGGGAGGTGCCTAGTCTTATTACAACTTGCTATGCCATGTTTGGTTGTTATATCTGGGAGACCCGCCTTTTTCTGAAGGGAAACAGAGGAGGAGTGGATCTGAGGTGGGGGAGAGACTGGGAGGAGAGGAGGGAGGGGAAACAGGTCAGGATGTAATGTATAGGAGAAGAATAAGTTTAAAAAAATAAACCTTTAAACTGTATTTAAAACCTACAGACAGTATCTGAAGAGAGAGACGGCATGGTGCTCACATTGGAAATTTTAATAATTTATTTTATAATAATTAAAAATAATTTTTAATAATTTCACACACAGCAAAATGTGCTCTTTTTGGTGTATGGGATCATGTGATCAGCCCTACCAATGAGGAGGCAGGTGCAGTTTGTCAACCCTAAAGGTTTCTGCCATGCTAGTTAAGCTTTTCCCTACCACCAGTCCTGGAAACCATAGATCCATTTTCATCCCTGCGGTTTTCTCTTTCCTAGGACATCACGTAAGAAGAGTCTTTTGTGTACTGCAGCCAAGAAACAGTCAAGTCGTATTCAATACTAGCTGTTCTCTTTACTGTGGAGAAGTATTCTATTGTTGAGGTACTGCATTTATTTACCCATCCATCTTCTGTAGAGTTTGGGGGTTGTTTCTGGTCCGTGGCCACAGTAGAGAATTTAAGAAAGCCCTTTTCAGGAACTGACAGAATATGAGATCCAATCCAGTAACAATGTACAAGGTTTGGACTTCTTTTACCAGCCCCACCCAGTTGATGTGCATGGATTAGTCATGCTTTGCAAGGGCATACAGGGCACTTCCTAGAATAGAATACGTCCTAAGCTGTAAATAACATTAAGAACGAGCCAGGCACAGTGGAGCATGTCTGTTCATCTCAGCACTTGGGATGAAAGTCCCCAATCATCCTGGGCTACACAGAGCCTGTGCCGATGGGGCCAGATACTCTGAAGATTAGGTGGAGGTTCACTTGAGTTTGGGAGTTCTAGACCAGCCAGGGCAGCATAGCAAGATCCCCCATCTCAGAAAAAATTTGGCAGACGGGTGACATAGCTCAGTGAAACAATGTTCATTTGCCATGTGCTCTGGGTTTAAAACACACACACACTCACACACACACACACACACACACACACACACACACACACACACACACCTGGTGATCTGTCATTGAAAACCTTCCCACAATTAATACAGAAACCCACAGCTAGACAATGTGCAGAAAGGAAGGGGTTTTGGAGCACTCGGTCTTAAATGGGATGTCTTTATTATGCCCCATCCGCCAAGGATCAGGAATTTATGTGGAAGAGGAGGCAGAAAGATTGTAAGAGCAGGAAGGTGGACTCCAAGGAAAGCAGGAAGTGGTGGACTCCAAGGAAACAGCCTTCCAGGAACAACAAGATGGAGGCAAATACGAACTCACAGACTGCAATAGTAGGTGCAAGCCCAGCACTGAAAAGGGGAAGTGAATGCAGAGCTCCATCCCTAACCAAGGTACCTATTTTCAACTGGTACCTGCTAGGAACAGGAAACTCAGTTTTCTCCAATGGAATGTCATATCACCCACACCCCATGCCCAGGAGTACTTGGCCAACACAAAATGGATCCCATTTTTTTTTTCGTGTGTGTGTGTGTGTGTGTGTGTGTGTGTGTGTGTGTGTGTGTGTGTGAGATTTTTGTTTCATTTTGACTTTTTTTTGAGATTAAAAATATGGAATGCTTCACAAATTTGCGTGTCATCCTTGCGATATTTTTTTGTTTTATTGTTATTTTATTTGCTTGCTTTGATTTCAGTTTTTTTGAGAAAAGGGGTGTACGTGAAGCTGGTTGGATAGGGAGGGGGAGGATCTGGAAGGAGTTGGGAGAGGGGAAAACATGATAAAAATATATCGTATGAACAAATTTAAATAAAAAAGCAAGAGCAAACTGAACATTCATTGAAGATGGGGGGGAGGGGCGGAGAGGAAAGAACCAAAGAAAATCTTTTCACAAGGCAAATCTAGGTGCAAATGTCTTTTAATGTAGTCACTGAACTGAATTCTTTTAGAGTCTATTGAACACACATTTACTTTTGCTTATATGCTATGCTTACAGAATGTTTTTAAAAGTTCGTATCAAATGAACAAATAGTAAAGGGATTGGTGGGAGGAGATATGAATTAAAATTAGCCGTAGTGAAGGTGGGCATGTGGCAAGCTATGCTTACTTTTTGACCTCTCTTCACCATCATCATCATCATCATCATCATCATCACCACCACCACCACCACCACCAGTGGACATCTAACCCAGGGCCTTAAGCATATGAGGCAAACTCTACCACTGAACTGTATGTTCAGCCTCGATCTCCATTCCAGTAAATGTCTGACATTTTCCATAAAGTATTGTTGAAAAAGTGAGGTCATGACATCACCGTGTAAAACCCTCCAGCAGCTCCTCAGCTTTCTCTGCGTTTAGAACATAACAGGTTAGTGGTGACCAGGTCAGCTGCTCTGTCACTCGGCACATCCTGGGGTCTCTTCTCCACTCCACCCACTCTGGCCTCCTTCCAAGGGGTCCTGGTCCTCAGGACCTTTGCACTTGGTCCTCCACCGGCCTGAGATGCTCACTCTTGGGAGCCAGCATGGCTCGGCTCCGACAGGTCTTTGTTCAAATGCCCTTTCATCAAATATCCGCCGGATCACCCCAAATAAATCCCTCAACGGCTACAACCGCATTTCATAGCCCTTTGCCCCACTGTCCTTTCCCCAGGGATCGGTAGCCGCTGAACGCTTGAACTCTTTTCTGACATTTTCCTTTTCTGTTTACTTGCTATGACAATGCCAGCTCCAACCAGGCAGGGACCATCACAGTGCCCAGAGCAATGATGACATCCAGCATATAGTAGGTGTTCCAGAAACTCATTAAATGAGTAAGAAAGGTCTTCGGTCTCTTCAAGAGGTGCCAGGGAACCCTGGAGAGCTTCCGCACAGACCTGCCACCTGTGGCCTTGCTGTGGTGGACTTGTTTGAGTCTGGCTGCCTGCCTGCCCTGGTCATTCTGGACCCTGGGGCTATCTTCTCAGAGACAGAAGGTCCCACTGGAAGCCAGAGGACTCGGATCTTCCTAGTGGTTCCGGGGAAAATTGGGAGCCATAGAATCTCTCAAGGTGACTTTGGTGCCTTGACCTGTACATGCCAGCTCTGAGATCATGCAGGTTCACTTCGCTTCCCCAGCATCTGCCCATAGGGAACCCATAGCCTACCAACCCTGCAGGGTGACTGGGTGAAGGGGGCACGTTCACCGTCAGGTTCCGCTGACCAACATTCTCGCAGCTCTAAGAGTCGCCAAATGGGTTTTCATGAGGCAGCCACATCATCTTTGGGGCTGTTGGCTGCCATCTCCATTTCCAGAGAAAGCCTGGCCCGCCCTCTCCCGCGGCACCTTCGCCCCGCACCCTCTGCTGCTCGCCCCGCGCCCTCCCGCT